CTCCATAGCTACCCAGCACCCCCCCCCTTGCGTCCTCCACGTGCAACACCTGTCCCCCGGTCTCCACGGCAACATCCGATGCTTCCCTCGTCTCCATGGCAACCCAGCGCCCCCGTGCAACACTCCGGTCTCCCGGGCAACCCGTTTCCATAGCAACGCCCCCCCTCAGTTGCCACGTGCCATGCCCCTAGTCTCTATAGCAACCCCGGTGTCCATGGCAACCCCGGTACCTGCGTGGCCCAGCAGCGGCGATAGCAGCAGCATTGCCACCAGGAGGCGCCGCGCGGGGGCCGCGTTCGTCCCTCCCGCCATGGCGGCGGCGCCGCGCGCCTTCCCCCGCCGACCCTGGCAACCGGGCGGCCCCGCCCACCGCTCCGCCAATAGCCGCGCAGAGTGGCGCTGACGTAAAGGAACCCGGAAGCGGTCTCGCTGACTGACCGCGCTCTCAGCCAATCAGAGCGCAGCAGGAGCCGACGGGGGAGGAGGTGGGGTAACAGTCCTTCCCGCCGGCCGTTCACGCTGACTGCCGAGCCGGACGACCAATCACAGCCGCCCTCCGGCCCAGGCTCTCCAGGCTATGGGGGAGCCGCTCGTTGCCATGGCACCCGCTGCGCCCCCCCCCACCAGCCCTTCCTACCTATCGGCGCGGGGACGGGACTGATGGACAGGCCGTTCCGCCTATCGGCAGCGCTCCCTGCTCCATGGCAACTCTTGGGCCTCGCCCTGCGGGGGTTGGGGGGGCGGGACATTATTGTAGGGTCGCCTGTATTCCTGGTGGCGGGGGGCAGGCCCTGGATCCCAAACCTCTCAGTTTCCCCTCCCTTTAGTGTGTGTCTCTCCCTTTAGTGTGTGTATGTGCACACGTGTGTGCACTGTCCACCTTGCAGTGTGCATGTGTGTACTTGTATGTGCATGTGCACATACACTATCCATCTGCATACGTGTTTGTACGCATGTGTGTGCCTGTGCGTGTACGTGTGCGCCATCTGCATAGTGTGCGTTTGTCCACATGTCCGTCTTTGTGTCTGCGTGTTTGTACGTGTGTGTGCATCTGTGTGTGTATGTGTGTACCTGTGCACGTGTGTACACATATGTGCACGCTTACGCATGCCCTGTGCTTGGCCATGCATCCCGACCACACTACGCTGCCCCGGCCCCCCCAGGAATCGGCCCTGGAGCCCCCCGGGGTGTGGGCAGGTGTGGCCTGAGCCGCTCCTGGGGGCTCCCGGAGAGAAGCAGGAGCCTGGTGGGGAGGTCGGGGTGGCCTGATCCCCTCCCCAACCGAGGGGGCGCCTTGGAGAGTAGACTCCGGCTAGACCCCGGCCCAGTGCAGCCACCTCTGGGGGTGCCAGGATGTTGCCGTCCAGCTGCCCCCAGTCACTCTGCCAGGCGCTGCCCCCTCCCCCCCCAGGGGTTTCCTGACTGGTGCCATTGTCTCTCGCCCCTCCCCGCCGAACGCCCCCCCTTCTCCTCCCCCGCAAGTGGGACAGAACCCAGGAGTGCGGGCTCCTCCCGCTAGCTAACCACTAGTCCCTCCGCCCTTCCCGGAGCCACAAATAGACCCTGGGGTCCTGACGCACCGGGCTGGCTCTAACCACTAGACCACAGCCAGGCCCCCTGGTCCTGGGGGCAGAGTGGGACCGGGGGGGAGCACTGGGAGCCAGGACGCCTGGCTTCTGTCCAGCTCTGGAAGGGGACTGGGATCTAAGGTGGGGGGTGAGCAGGGGGGGCTGGGAGGCCGGACGCCTGGGGCGGGAGGGCGGGAGGGAGCAAGGGCCGGGAGGGGGGCTCGTATGCCTCCAGCTCTGGAGGAGAGTAGGATCTAAGGCGGGGTGCAGGAAGGGCCGGGAGCCGGGATGCCTGGCTTCTCTCCAGCTCTGGGAGGGGACTGAGATGGAGCAGGGGGGCAGGGAGCCCGGACGCCTGGGCTCTCCAGGGCTCTGCGAGGGGCGTGGGGCTGGCAGGCCTCCATGGGGAGACCCCATTGCCACTGCCCCCTTTCCAGGGGGGGCAAAGCCAAGCTGCCCGTCCAGGTCAACCCCCCCAGCTGAGCCCCCCAGCCTGGCCCCTGGGCGCCGGGCAGGCCTGGTGTGGGTGGGCCGCGGAGCGGGAAGCGGGCGTGTGGGTGGAGGATGTGCGTCAGCGCGGGGGGCGAG